TGAATCTGGATCATGAACTTCGTGATTCTAATAACAACCTTTTGAGACGTGAATCACCGTTGACGCCTGTGGTCATCGAATGAATATTTAGCGCCAACATTTTGGTGCTGGTTTATTTGGTTGCTTTTAATTGCTGTATCAGACCTCATTTTAGCTTCATTTTTCATTCGAAAATCCCCTGGCGGCGCATATTTTCATTGATCAAGTAATTCTTGACCTAGGCGTCTTCTTTTTGCTGATTTTCGACCTTGTATAAGTTTGCCCATATAACAAGCAAAATAAGAGCCCACTCCTACCTCTTCCAATCTATTTGTCAAGTTTATTCGAAGCAATATCTTCGTGGTTTCTCTGATCATTTTCTTACTTATATTTTATCGAAAATGGCTATTATTTAAGCCACGTATGAATTGATTTTGTGACTTGTCAGTCTTAATTTCTGTAACTCTTTGATTACGCCGGGCGATTTGTGTTCTTTAAATTATGAGTTTATTATCTTCCGGTTTCATAAGTATACATTTGTTTAGTCGTTTCAATTCATGTATTTATTTCCAGAAATATTAATTCGTTGACCTTTTCAATTAAGTGAGTAAGTTTTTAAAGAGCGTCACATTAATGGTTGCGTTCATTGATTCACAAGAAAAGATGGTATGTACTCTTCAAAAACTTTTTTACCCAATGAAAAGGTTAACGACGGATCGCTCATGGATATATTTTATATACAGTAAAATATATGGAAGAAACAGAAAGTACAATCAACATTAGGACACTGCGTTGACGAACCATGAGATTATAAGATAATTGAAATGCGAGCCTCATAAGGAAATAGAGGACCAAGGAAACCGCGAAAATATTTTCATAAAAATATAAAGAATAGAAGATAAAAGATCAGTATTTTTCTTGTATTGACAAACTTTATGATACCTAGGACTTGATATTTGCCTCAAGCGATCAAATCTACTGACGCCGTATAAGCCATATTTAATCTTAACTACCTTAAATTGGAGCACTGATATAGAAAATGAAAGACTCAAGTAGATAAGAATAATATTTACAATAATTGAAACACCAAAATAGTCTTCTAAGTGTCGCTAGTCCAAAGCTTTATCGTTTTATCCCCCTCTAATGAAGCAGAAGCAATCATATTAATCTGAGGGTGACAAGCTGTACAGAGAACAACATCTAAACCAAAATAAAAGGGAATATTAGATGAGGGATATAAGAAACAAGACACATAAAATAGTAATGGCCGAAATCCAAAAAATAATGTGGTTACAAAAGAATGGCACTAAAAGAAGTAGCTTAATGGAAAGCTTACCAGTGTGTCCTTGCAATTTTTGCACTACCTCTTTCGTTTGCAGATTCCATATATATACGAAATTATCTTCTGAACCAGAAACAATCCACTAAGAAATGAAATAGAAGTCTAACAAACCTTGCCCCCAGTAACGGAAAAATTTGCAAAGATACAAAACTTTTCATTCTTGTGACCAACGTACATCTTTAAGCAACGGCCCTTGGTGTAATCCCATAATTTAAGGGTACTGAGTGATGATCATAGCAAAAGCATCACTAACTTGTCCAAATTAGCAGCAAGAATATATTTTCCATTAGGAGAAAACTTGATAAAAGAAACAGGAGGGTTTTCATCATCTTACAGGTAAAATAGTAAAGAAAAGTAACTAAAAGTACCGATCAGAGTCTTAAGACATTGGCCAGAGGCTGTGTCCCATATGCGACTTAGCTTATCATTAAAATAAAATATTACCAGAGTCCATCATAACTACTTGATGCAATAAGAGCCCCATCACGGCTAAAATGTACCTATATTTTTAATGATAGATAATAAAACGAACCGCAGTCACTGGATCCGAATGTGCAGGCAGAGTGCGAATGCACCTGCCAGTTTTAACATCCCAAAGCTTGACACTCTCATCAAACTAAATTTCATTAAATGACATAAAAAATACGTACAGAACCAGAAACTATAAGATTTGATTGAGGGTTGAAATTGCAGCAAAATACGTAATTGCTATGGCCCTTAAGTGTTTTAAGAGGTTTTCCTGTCACAAAATCCCAGAGTTTTAAGGTCTTGTCATCAGAGGCACTACAAATAAATCTTGAATCGCTGGACCAAGCTACATCAGAGATCCCCTGAGAAATATTTAAATACAAGGCCAAACCAATTTATGTCCACAGAGAGATTTTTCAAATTTACCATCGTAAGCGTTCCAAATTTTAATAAGTTTATCAGCAGCTAAATATATAATTTCATATCGTATTTAAGTTTACATGAGCTAGCAAGCCATTGCCCATTTTCACTAAATTTGACGGATGAAACGGCCTTTGTATGACCTTTAAGAGTATATTTGAGGATGTAATTAGGAGTTTGCTAGCAATTTATAGACATAAAATTTAAAATTACATTCGCCTGCTTAGCCATGCGCAAAAATTATGACAAGGCGCTAGGCTATAAAACTTGGCGTAGAGTAAAAGAGAAGGTGTTCCAAAAGCCCGCCAAATCTTAGCAAGCGAGTATTGATCGTTTTAATTATTCCATTATATACTTTTAAATAAATATTTTACTCTAAAGACAAATTTTAAGATTTTAAAAACCTAAGTTATATTATTTGTCATTTATTAATTGCCATACGTCAGTAAGTGTATCTACATCTATTTATGGGATGTTTGGATTTTATAAGGCTTGCCTGAATTACCCTTATATTGACTGTATTATCAAAAACAAATTTTTACCCACTGCTTCATTCAGCGTTTATTTAGTTATACTTTACTTTCAAGAACTACGGATGACCCTTTCTCTTATAAATCTTAGGATTTTCAAGTAATATGTATTTAAATTTGGAGGGCATATATATACCAAGCTGTTGAAAGTCTTTAAAAGATTATCACTTTTCATATGTGGAATTATGCCCGAGGTAATAGGGATCGTTGAATATAGACTATGAATCCTCGTCATGTTTGCTAATTACAATTAGTGTTAGTTGTTGTTCAAAGCCTTTGAGTAATATAATATATGTATTCAGCCTATTTCTTTAAGTTGATGAAAGTCTGCTAGGTGAATTGTCCTACTATGATATGAGTAGTCCTAATTTTTTTATTTACTTTTTATTGCTTTGCTTCCCAAAAGGGGAATGAATTTTCGATCTTGCCTGAATTGGTCTCATCTGTACTCAAAGCGGGACTTGGACAGTGATACAGCGGCTTATAAGTTTGTTACGTTAATCACTATGCCATAGTGCCTATGAGCACACGACAGATATGAATTTCAATGAAGTTCAGGCATGCGACAGGATTTTCGATCATGCGAGATTGTATTTTATATAGCAATCGACTTAATTACATATATTTTGTCTTTTTAGTACGCATTTTACACAATTATCAGAATATATCTATGAGATATATTCATAGTATTTCGTTAAGGGGATTGAAGACTAGTAGATTACTTATTTTTTGCTATTTTATTACAAGCAAATTGCAGCACATTTCTGCATTCAGCATATATTTGCTAATCCTTTACTTTTATAGAGCTGCCGATTTTCTTTACCATTTTTCTTACCTTATAATGTTCCAGATTTTAAAAAATTGCTGGACACATATATAGCTTTCTGCTGGAGGCCTGCAAAATATAACCACTTTTGAAATGAGGGGGATAGTCTGCAGTTCGCTGTCACTTAATTTGTATTATAGTTAGGTGTCATTTAAAATCGTTGAATAATGTTGCAGCTAACTTTAATTATGGAAATTGACGGCTGAATTAATCTAAATGAATATTGCCGGTTAGCTCTATGATTTTTTTCTTGTTAGAA